CTTGTTTAACTGTACGTCTCCAAGTCTGTCCTGCAGCCAAAGTTTGACATCCTCCTCGATGCAGCGGTAGAATTGCTCCAATGCAACGCATTCCACCACTTTATCGCGGTCGTCATAAACACCTTCGCCCTTGAGCCATTCAATCAAATCGGCTTTAAGACGAAACGCGAAGTCAACGTGTGACTCATTCCCCTTTTCAGCATACCGGAACCTTTGCCTGAAAGCCTCGGGTGACAACTTATAACGTCTCAAGAGCACTTCCTTAACCTCGTCATAGCTCTCGAACGCTTCCCTCGACAAGCAAGTTATCGCGTCGGACACTTCGCCGGGAAGAAGAGCTAGCAGGTTCCGCGCCCAAAGAGACCGCTCCAAAGCATTTCGCTCACAGACGTGTTCAAACTTGACGAGATACTTCGCCATGTCCTCGCCTACTACGAACGGTGGCAGTTGGTCCCGAATTCTGAAACCGCTGACCTGAATCGTCGGAGAAGCTACGCTAGGCGCCTGCGAACACTGTAGGATTGCCAATTCTAGTCGTTTCAACTCTAGGCGCTCTTGTCTCTCGGCCTCCTCGCGCTCGCGAGCTTCTCGCCTTTCTTCACGTTCGCGAGCTTCTACTTCTCGCCTTTCAGCCTCCTCACGGCGTGCTTTGATATCCACCCAGGCCTCATCGACTTCCTCAGCCGACACTCCCTCATCCTTCATGATCTCAAGGATCGCTTGCTTTCGTTTCGCACGGCCCAAAGTAATGCCGAGTTCCTCACAAATTTCGATGAGTTCCTTCACTTTAAGGTTCTCCATCGTTCACACTAGCCTCTTGCTGTTTCCCCTGTTAAGAATCTACTTGCCGTACCCACTATAAGCCTACTAGCAAGACGCGCAAGCAATTTTTCACACTCCCGTGTTTACCCCCTCCGCATTAACTTTGGTTTCAAAGCGCTTCGACTTGGCTTGAAACGATCAAAGCTCACTTCAATGCTTCACACAGCCCTTCTCTAAACTACTACAACCTGAGCTAGAGTAGTCTGGTGAACTGAGGGGAAAACATCAGGCACTCACCGCATCGATGTCGCTGACGCCGGCCGATCCCGCAGCTGCCAACCACTGTTGAGTAACGGCGGACCGATCCCACCGAAGCCACCACTGTTGAGAAACGACGGACCGATCCCGCCGAAGCCACCACTGTTGCGAAAGACGGCGACGCCAACACGGCCCAGGAGGCGCCACTGCTTTCAACTCCGCCGGGAAGGTCACCAGCCGTTTGGTAGCGTATGTTTATCAGCTCGCGACTGCTTCTGCGCAGAGCTGATAAGACGAGCGGACGAGACGACGGTGAGTTAAACAAGGTTTATGTACATCATATTTACAGAGGCGTTACAATTTCGGCACTGGGGCCGACAGAGATTCGAAGAGCCGAGCTCTTCTCTCTAACACATAGGTCAGTCTTTCGCCTAAGACCGCTGACTCACACACATGTCGGCACTCCGACACGGGGACGCCTCTCACATAGGACCGCCGATCGCGACGCGCCGCAGGGCTTCTTTTATTTACACCGGGCCCAACTAAAATGTCCAATCAGAAGCGCCGCTGGTCTTCCGAGCAGGCTCCTCCAATGGGGTTCGCCGCGCGATGCGTCAGGCCACCAGACATGAGGACGCCGGCTCGCTGTCACGTGCGCCGATGACTCAATGCACGTGGGCGAGAGAGGCGCCGCGCGTGTTCACGCCATTGAGATGTTCGCGTCGGGCAGACGGCGGGCTGGCCTTGACCCAGATTGCCTTTTTCAGAGGCACGGTCGTTTGACGAGGACTCGCTGGCATAACAGCATAGACAGGCTCATACGGACCTCTTCCGCTTACGCCAGCCGGTCACCGTTGGATTGTTACTGCCGTGAACCATCTTACTCGCTCCGCGGAGACGGCAGCTCTTCCGTCTGGTGCTACCTCGGAAGTGGCCAATTTTTTCTTTCGCGCCATTATTTTACGACATAGCGCACCGCGTGTGCTTCTTATCGACCGTGGCAAGACATTTATTTCACATGTCCTTGCTGAAGTCCTCCAGGCCTCTTACACCATCAACAAGACCACATCAGCGTATCACCCAGAAACGTATGGTCTGACTGAGCGTTTTCACCAAACTTTGTCCGACATGACCTCTATGTACGTTCAACCGAATCATAAAAACTGGGACACTATACTTCCTTTCGTCACGTTCGCATATAATACTGCCATACAGCGAAGGACAAATTACAGCCACTTTTTTCTCGTGTATGGCCGTGTACTGACTTTTGTTCTGGACACCATCTATTGTCCACATCTTCCGTTCCATCTTCATCTCTCCCGGGAGAGTTTACCGCTCGCGTCACCCACTGCCGTGAAATCGCCCGCGCCACCACTGGTACCATTCAGGACAAGAGAAAAAATTGGCAGCATATCCACGGAGTAAATGAGGGAGAGTGGGGCGAAGCATTCGTCCATCCATTCGTTCGTGCTTCCGTCCGTTCATGCACCCGTCTGTGTGACCGTCCATCCCTGTGTTCGTCCATACATCCATCCCTGCGTCCGTTCATGCGTCCATCCATGCATCTGCCTGTGTGTCGTTTGTCTATCTATTTAACACTCCAATTAGTACCACCATCTCGCATCTTTTCATCATGTATTCCTCATTTAGAAGCACCGCCATCCAGCGGACATTCCAAGGACTAAACGAGAGGTGGCACACGCACACTTTCTTAAGGCTTGCGCTTCGGGTCTGCTTCCCACCTTTAACCACCTCGAGTATGGTATATACTAGTTCACTGTATTCATGGCACTGCAGCCCAACGCTCGCTAAACCTTTCTAAATCTAAGGAAGTTACACCCAGCGAGTATAACGTAGCAACCCTTTCTTGTCAGATATTGCTCGATGTACATGCCAAGGGCTGCTAATGAGGATCGCAGCGTGCGCGTTAACTAAAAAGCGGATGCTCCTGTCTCTCATTCCCCATTAGCAGCCATTGGCATGTACATTGAGAACTATTTTTATTGTTTAACAACGCACAGAAGAAATCTCTCACCGACACCACCTTGGAGGTCAAATTGTTATACTTCTTACACACTACAACTGCTACGAGGGACGAACGGGTGCCGCTGCAAGGAGCTTCGCCCCTAAAAATCGACATTGATGCAAAGCGTTGAGTTGTTCTGTTCCAACCTGGCGACTAAGTCCTTTTGCGGACACCTGTTCGTGCACATGGGCTCTGCGAAAAATTCCTTTACCGATATCTCGGTCCAAACACCATCTTGGAACGAACATCCGAAATCAACTATCGCGTTGCTCGTGCCAACGGGGCTCCTGATAGTCGTCGCCGCCGCACCGAGATCGCCCACGTCTCTTGACTGAAACCACATATTTGGCGTCCAAGCCATTTCTAACTTGCTGTCCTCTTTCGCGAAGGGAGGAAAATAATGTGAGCGCTGACAATGTACTTGATCTTCATCTGTATGACCAAACCATTGTAGTGATCATCATTCAATGTCACGCGGGCTAGGCCTCTTTGGCTGGTGCATCTGGATGTAAAATATAACCTGGGGACTGCCGCCATATCGAACGTGGTCTCACTATATATATATACATGAGGAGAGAAAGAGAGAAAGTTATATAATATGAGACCACGTGTGTGATGTAGGATATATATATCCTACGTTACACACGATGTATCTTGCTGCAAACGAAAGCACGGTAGCCGCGCGCTTTGGTATGACAGGGTCATTAAAGACTACGTGACACGAACTGTCACCGCTTATAATCCTACATGTGTATCACATTGTACGCATGCGTCATTTTTTTTACAGTGACATCTGCTCACAGGGGTACAGCTGGCTAAACGCTACTTCGCTCTTTTTATGCTCGTTATATTTCACAGCCGCCCTTAAGGTTCTACAGTTTAGGGCGCACACACAGCCGCTAAGCATGGAAAAACTGCCCACAGGCGCTGTGAAAATTTCAGGTATTCGGCAACATTTTTTTTTCTTCTTCAATAACATTCACCCGATTTTTCAATTGTATTTGCGACGCAGCTTAGCAAGCACAAACAACAGCATTTTCTTTTTTTTGTCAAAAAACATACACTATCCACGCCAAAGGCCTATAAATGTGTACAAATAACTAAATTGTCCTTTTTAGCAGCCAACAGAAACCGTGGCTGTTCACAAAGTTGCTTCATTTTAAATGGTGTGCACCGAAAAGGCACGCATTATTAAGTGCACACTTCAAAAGCGCGTATTGTAGACAATTATTGTAAGCACCGTGCATAAGTAGGCTATTTAATGCTAAAAACCATGAGCAGTGAGATACTTTCTTTCGATCATTACTCCAAAAATAAAGTAATAAATGATATGACGCTGAACCAGTTTGTTCTTGACATTTAGGCTGCTAGCTCAGCGATACCTTGAGAAAAGAATGTAGGATGTCAAACTAGGAACGACTGCACCAGTTTAGTATATTTACGACAGCAAATAAAGCAAATTACTTAGCATGGCATCTTCTAGTGGCACACACCTTCTTCATCGCAGAGAAGTTCACGTGGTAGTCCCAGTATTAAAAGATGAAAAGAGTAGCCGGTGTGGCTTTTGTGCAATTTTTCACCACAAAGTATATGGAAAGGGAAGATGTACAGCTATAGTTGTACAAGGAATTTTTTACCGAACATAAACTAGGATCGAGTCGTGCAGACTTCGTGGCTCCTGCTTCCTGCTCGTGACTCCAATGTTTCAATAGTTTTATACTGTCGTAAGTGCTGATGTGCCTCGCAACTACGTGAGGTAACATAACAAAAAACCAATAGGTAGGCATACTGTTTAGTACGAGTGCGCCGAGCTGTGCGCCCATCCATTTCCCGTCGACCCACGCCGTGCGCCAAGGACACGTTAGGGTGAGCGTCGTGTCTTGATTGCAAAAATATTTATTATTGTTTTGTAAGCACTGATGATTCAACAAGAAAAGTGTCAGCATCAACTCACCAAGAGGCTTTTTGTGGACGCGGAACTCGGCCTTGAATCCACGACCGCTCAGGTACGAATCACTGTTGAAGAATAGGAACATTTCTCGACCGCTTGAAGACACCACTTCCGGCTCGCCCTGGGCTCCACAAAAGCGCCCTAGGAGGTAAGCATCTGAAAAAAAAAATATTATAAGTAAGTTCTTCACGAGCTAACAAAGGTTTAGCGTGGACGTTCAGGTTATGCTAACACCAGCACAAAATGACAATAACAACAAGTGGAGCCGAAGCGGCGCAAATGTCGCATTGCAGAGGAATTACTGACAAGCTGCACTACGTGTCACGTTCCTGAACTTATCAGTAGATTATTAAGTTTCCCAGTAGGCATGAATCACTTATGCTGCCATTTCTCCGTAGCCTTCTTTTGTTCTTTGTACCAGAAGTGGGGACTACGTAAGCGTAGATAGTGTAAAAACATTTGTCATTTCTTAAATGCACCAGCGATTCACCAAAACGAGTGCCATACTCTTCAGTTAGAGCGATGCTGATAACGCCAGCAAGATAGTCACTGCCACTGTTGCTTACCTTCATTTGCACCATCTCGTACTTCAATCTTGTCGTAAGGGCAGTCTTTGTACGGGTCCAGCTGTATGTCGACTATGTACAGCGTGATTATGTTTTGTGGTCCAGCATCCAGCGGCACACGGCACGAAGAGTTTGGCGGATAGGCATCCGGGTAGTTGGGACTGCTGATGAAGCCGCGGGAATCTTCAGTCCACACGCGGCAGTTACCTGAGCGTCGAGAATCGATGTGCGGTCAGGGAGTGGATACTTCTCACTTTTAAACGAGTAGATAAGGGATAAAGAAGAAATTCGGCACGCAAACATAAAGGAAACACATTTTTGTTGATTGTAAGTATGTTTTCCTCCCGTGGAACATACACTCGGAGATTTCCTTTCACGTAGTCCTCCGAACATTGAACGGCAACAATCAGGCCACAATGACGACACCAGAAGCCGTATGTTAACAAGTGGAAAGCCAACGATTGAGTGCAGCATTGCACCCTGTTCAAAGTTGCACTATTCTTTTTTTCTTTGATTCCCAAAGTTATTCTCGTCTCACAAGCTCTTTTAATGATGCATTGAAAAGGAAGTTGTTTATTCTATCAAGACGAAGTGAACGACCTAAGAACTATCCTGAGGTGACATGCGAGAATTAGTGACGAATTATAGGCAACTCGCAATAATTACAACTTACTTACTAATGAAGTGTTGGCTATTCTTGTCAGGAAAGCGGTGTTTCCAATAGTGCTAGAGTAAACATAAACATAAAAAGCACACGAAAAATGCCTCGACCTCCACCTCTGCGTCGCCACATCCGCTTGTAGTCGTACTTTTATTTTCCTTGCTGTGAACCTTCGTCACTTTGTCGTAGTAACTTGAGTGTTGGGGAAGACATGCGTCTGGCGACCTTCTTATCGGCAGTGCATACAGTGGTGACAAAGGTAATACTACAAGCAAGAAAACAGCACCAGCGGCAACAACACACACATGAAGAGTGATAGATAAGGCTGTACTGCCCTGCAATTCGTATTACGCACTGGGTTCGGCATGTTGTTCTTCAAGCTCGTTGTAGCCGTGGTACCTGGCACGGAATCCCTGCAGGTTGACTATGTCGTCCGAATGGAAGTGCACTGCCATCGCATTGCCCGTAGAGCGCAACTCTAACGAGCTCTTTTGGTTTTCTCTGCAGAAGCGGCCAAGAGACGGGCTGTCTGCAAATGTGAGAAGACAGACAAGTTCAACCAAGTTGGTTGAGCACATTTTAGATATTCGCCACAGGCTGGTGCTTTCACAATAGCCCTCGTAAATTCATTAAAATGTAGTTTAGCATATTGTTATACTGATGAACAACATCTTACTAGCATTTTACCATATTCCAAATCTAAACTATTATGACTACATGGCTATTCCCTTGCCTGTTTCCACCGTAAGAAGTCTCAGATTTATGGGGGTGGTCATTTCAGCGTTTTCATCTCTTCTGTCAAAGTAGTGATGACCATCTTGTATTTTGCAGTTAGCACGCATATGCTGGCAGGAGCGCCTCATGGCCCCTTTAGATGAACCCTTCACCTTTTCCCGGGCCCCATATATCGACGAGCCAACGTTTTACTTGTAGACTACACGTGAATTCAGATAGACTTCTATAACCATCTGAAATAGTGGTTATGCGCTATGTCAGGATTCTTTCATTTCTATACCCGTCTTCTGGCAGCACTAAGAAGGGCTTATTACAAGTTAAAATAGTAGTAACTAAGAGAGAATAAGACGGCGGCCAGTGCCAGCGAGCGATTAATGTTCATCTTCAGACCACAGAAGAACGTAATCTGAGCTCAAAGAGCTTGCACTATACCATTCTCACCAGCGTTCTTAAACTCACTGCGTCACTACAAGTCAGAAGCCACTAGACGGCAGTCAACGCAAAAAAATGCCACGGGCATCTTCCCACGGGGGAAACTCGAATAAATGCGTCGCAGAGTGGTGGGGTATCACGTGAATATTGCGTGATTGGCTATGTTCTGGGAATGAATATTTGTAATTTCATGTTTATTAATAATATTTATTGAACGAAGGAGAAGCGTTGCGTTCAACGTCAAGCGAGAGCTATGTAAAGACACCCCTGACGGAATACCAGACGCGTGATCGCCTACTTACATACGGGGTGGCCAGTGGCCGGGTGTGCAGCGGGAGCAGTCGTTCTTTTTTTTAAGTAGCAGACGCTGGCTGCGTCATCCTTGCGAGGCGAGAGAGTGAGGAGAGTGGCAGTGCTGCGGTTATTCCTGAGCCGGCACGAGACGCGAGCATGCGCAGTGGGAGTGTGGACGGCACCGCCGCCGACGCCAAAGCACGACATCGTGCAACTAAATTATCCGCATGCAAAACAGTAACCTCAAAATTATTTTTAATGCAGGTCTAGTAGAACAGAGCTCTGTAGCTAGTGGGCAAAGAAGACCGCTGAACAGTTGTAGGAAGACACATATGCAAGAAAGCAAAAAAAAATGTTGCAATTCATATTCTCAAAAAAGAAAAAAAAGATTGGACCATCTCCCCAGAGGGACTCCTAATGGTATGCGAAGCAGCGGAGGTGCTCAAAGGTGACGCCATGGGTTTAACGACGCTAACGCGGGTGCCGCGGTGAGCGCTGGAAGATTCATTTTAAGCGATGGCTGTTCTAGGTGATACGTACAGACATGTCTCAACGCGTACGCGATGCGCGCTTCAGGTATATTGCGCGTAAGCGAACGAGTCGGCAGTGCAGCGAGCGAAAGGATGAGGCGGCAGCTGCAGGTGCCGCGGCAAGCCCGCGGCAGGCTAGGAAGAGAGTGACGTTATCGCGCTCTTCAAGGGGAGCGTAATGTCAACGCACAGCAGCGGCGTGGCCTACCTGGCACGGCGCCAACACCTGCGGCACGCAGCACATTGATACGGAGTGACAGCGTTACACAGGCTAGTCAAAGAGTTGTTTCGCATCTAAAACAATCATCAAAAAAGTAGTCTTGAGAGCGTAACTGTGGTGTGCTGCTCACCGAAAGTGGCGCCGTCGAAGATCTCGACGTAGTCAGAGGAGCAGCGTGGGTTTCTCTCCATGAACAGGGTCTCGAACTTCAGTGCCACGACGTCGCCAGGCTTGACTCGAAGCACCGAGAAGCAGTCCGTGTTGGGCGGGTACGTGTCCGGGAAGTTTGGGCTCTCCACGGTCCCCCTGTTGTCCTGCACTTCCACCGGACACGGCGACATGCGCGAGGAGATGACCGCCGGCGAACCGACTGCGCCCAGAAAGGAACCACCGCGAGAGTGACCACGCTGCTGGCGCTGTTGGGGCTGTCGCTGCTGTTGCGGCCGCTGCGTCGGACGCGCTGACGGCAGAACACCGCCACGAGATTCATGCACTGCGATTTCAGATACGGGCGACTCTGACTCGCCGGGACATCGGGATATGCCTGCGAGGGGAGGCAACAACACATTGGGCGGGTGGTGTGCCCCATTTCTTTGCCTTGTTGCGCCTCGTAAACCCACCCTTCCGGAGAGTATTCGGCCTCTCTACTTAAGAAGCAGTTCTCCAAATAGGCAAGTAGGAGCTCTGTTTCATTAGGCAGCTAATACGGCCATGGACGTAAGATATCTATTTGCTGAGAGTCATTCTTAGTGAGGATCACCTGTGTGCTTTTTCCGCATAAGCTTGCAGAATGTTGCAACCCAAAAATAAATGCAGTTTGCCTAGATTCTTTCAGGTAATGTTTAATTTTGCTTTGGACATCAAATTTAAGTAACTTCATTGACCAAAACAGGGTAAATTTAATCCGATAGCTATAAAAGTTCTCGTCAGTCGAGTATTTCAACGTCCTAAGATGCACTGATACCTCCAACGAGCTACAACTACATTGCGGAAATAGGTCGACGGCACTGTGTTTTTCTTGTTTCTGGAAGTGCAACCCACAAGCTATGGTGTTCGCTAGAGCCCCCATCTTGTTCGGCCCACTGGGCTACTTTCTGTGCTGATTTTGATGTGCATACTGGCAGCCAATCGGCTCGAAAGCGAACCCTGCGGTCTCTCGAGACCGCTACAGCTACTATGTTGTCAAATTGGCAGTCTTAAATAGCCAAATTGCTTTGAAACTAAATTGTTTTACATCTCACACAGTGCTACATCGTTTCTTTAGGCGATTCGATAGTGCTCTGCTGGGACACACACAATATTTCAGTGGACCTCGCCAATTACCAAAACCAAATTCGCAGGACCATCACACCTGTTTTTGTAGTCTCTTTGTTCTTAAGTCATCGGGCCGTTGATACAAGCCTCCCTTCATAACATTCTTTGAAAAGAAAGCCATCGAGAAAATATGTGTGGTGGGTATCAACACTAGTAAAATTCCAGGTTCACATATTGTACGTGAATTCGAGAAAGTGTGTGTACGTCTGTGTGTGTTCATTAATGCGTCCATTACCAAACAAATTGACACTGCGAAAGTGAAGCGGACCATCAATAAGGCATACGACTCTATATAGCAATTATTCTAAGACTACCATTAACTTGCAGATCTACATTTAAACACTCAATTCACTTCACGTCCAGTCGGTAGGCATTAAAAAAACCGCGCATCTCCACAAAGTGAATCATGACGAATGCGTGAAGCTCTGGGTATCGTATCGTTGAGTAACGGTACGTTATCCGACCATAGCCCCATGTAATGTAAAATGAGTGACATAAGACATATATGGAAATGTAAATTTATTTCTCCTTTAAGTCGTCTTACGAAACCCAAAGAGGACCTATAAAATTGCTGGAGATGAGGATATGCCTAAAATTTAATGCAAGTAATGGTAAAATTGTTAGTGAAATTGAACAATTACCTCCATATTTGTGTTGTGGCTTGTCAAAGTTATGGCCACCCTGTCTAGAAGCGGTGAACGTTGGTTTTGCTCGACGTTTTACAATACCGTAAAGTTAAAGAAAAAATAAAACGATCACCTGGTGGAAAGTCTTGTCTAACAACAAAAAAGCGTGAAACACTCCTGCCCGTCATTTTACCTATTCACTGTCTTCTAGAAAGAGAGAAAAAAAATAAGGCATTCCACACCACACCATCGCCTTCTTCAAGCTTTTGCGTATGAGACAAGACAATACAACCGATCGCGTGACGGCACCAAGCAACGCAATTTGACCATAATTCCTTCTTGGCCATCCGTTCGAGAATAAACGCCGTTTTGCAACTTCGAACTCTGGATGGTATCAGTCGCCCACTGAGAAGCAAATATGAGCACTACAAAGGCATGTTGAAGCAGGGCTAGATGGAACCGCGAGAAGCTTGCGAGAGAGCACTAGGCTTTTTTCCGGGCGTCGTTGCTGTGTATCTTTCTTTATTATGACGCCGTCGTTAACGTTCCGTGTCTGAGTTCGCTTCGCACTGGTGCTTCTGCGTCGGCGGGTTGCATGGTCACGCTATCGCCTTCTGCAGTAGCTAATATCCCCCAATAAGGCCAAAACAGCGCTGTGGTTGGAGTCTATTTACCCCATCTCTGCCCGGTCTTCCTTAAGCATTTCAAAGGCATCGCGTGCATCCATGCTTTTCTAACTTCTAAATTATCATGGTTGTTTAAGAGATAACTGAGAGGCGTCTGACTCGGCTGCAAACTTATTACTAACATGTTGATGCCCTGCATTTTTTGTTTTCACGAATCTGCTGTGTCTATTTTCAATTAGATGGCTCCGCAACGCCTATCAGTGTGTACTATATATTTATGCAGCCTAATACAGACCTGAAGGCGTCTATGTGTGAATAAAAAGATGCGTTCTTCGTGATCTTTTATGTCTTGTCACCTGGTCAATACACAATTTCGCATATTTTCATTCAGACAGCGTGAACAATTCCTTCCCATTTGCTATGATGGATTCCCCCTCCCATAGCGCCTACACCTATCAAAGAAATAACATGGTAGTTTTACGTGCACGAAATGCACTTATAAGCATTATCCCCTCCATTACTCTGCTAGGTAAACACAGAAATTTTCCTGGAAGCTATCAGCACCGAGTCTTTGAAGTGTCCCCCGAGGAACTTAGGCGACCGCTGGTGACCGGTGACTCTTAGAGCAGCAACTTTACCTTTTAACTGTAAAAGGAAACGAACACTGATGATAGCTACATGATACGGCAGAAGGATCGCCTTCAGAATACAACCAGAATAATGATCTCCTACGGAATATTTCGATTACAGACACGCGTCGGCAGAAGATCCGTTGAGTCGGCGCCACAGCATGCACCGTCCTTGATACGTTTTTCCGCGTGCAGTTGACATTGCGATATACCGTTGAATATTACACTCACTTTCACTGGAAGGTCTTCTTGTAGTGGCAGTCATAAGTATGAGGAGTCATATTTAGTAAACTGCAGGGCTTCCCCGGTTTTACTTCAAAGTTGTGCGTCTCCTTAATGTCCCCCAAATCTAAACATACTTTTCTAATTAGGTTGAAATTCACAATGACCAGCGAACAAAGCCCATATTCACGACGAAAGCACAATGCGCAGTTTCTTTCATTCATCGTTTGGTGTGCTTCTAAGATTATACATCGAAATATCTACTACTCAAGTGTTCAATATGTATTGCATCTTTTCAGTCGCTTTTCGCTACGAAACCTCATCGTTCAGCACTTCAGCGCATTTAATAATTATATCTGTCTTGACTGCTCTCCTCTCTCTCTCAGCTTTCTATTCCACTTTTTTTTTTCTGTAAGCATAAGGCAACCAACTGAACACGTGGCCGGTTAGCCTTCCACTTTATGTGTTCTTCCTTGCTACTTGCTGCACATGGCTTGGCTTCACATCTTTCAAGCGGAAATTCTGTTTTAGTCTCTGCTTACGTAAGACGAGAGTAACACTATTGCGCATTAAATTTCTGAAAGCAAGAAAAAAAAACCTTCCCTCAATTCACTTTGTTGCCCCGCGAACGCCACAGTGAAATTCAACGATACATCCGATGATGGGTTCCTCAAACCTGCAGTCATAAACAATTCGAAATGCTTTCTGTCTACGGGTCCGCTGATGCATACTATATAGCGATTTCTTTGTCAGACAAGTGGTTTAGAGAAATAGGTCGCTGCATGTTTGCGAATTCTGAAATCACTAAGTCGATGCAAGCCAAGTTTTTTTTACGTTTTTTTTTATTTTGGTTCAAAACATAGGTGCAATTAGAACTGAAGCTCAACTTCATTTGACCCCGAAAGGGTTAACTGTGATTATTTTCATGCTTAAGACGGATGCAACCATAGTTGCGATGACACAAGGACGTCCTGGTCATGGAGGCGAACGCGGAAAATGCACGGACAGACTTCCGTACAAATACAAATGTATTCATTCGCACGCCCCCTTAGGTCGCCTATTTTTATTCTATGGAAAGTGTAGCGGAAATGTGGTGCAGATATTTAACTTTATTTTGCATAAGTACGCCATTCAGGAAGTAGCACTGAACGGAATTTCAACATTAGCCGCATAATGTCACTTGTCGAAATAGTCGACATATATTAATCTTTATCATAAGGTAACACACAATAGAGAAAGCCATTAGTAGTGGTACGAAAAAATCTTGACCTGCCTGAATTACAACTACTTCTCTCTACTAACAAACTAGGAAGGCGATGCATTATTATTCTTGGCCATTCCTTGGTAAGACAAATCGTGAATCATTCACGTTTTTAACGCCGTATTATATTTATGGGGATATGTTATATTAGCGACAAAAACGTAACAACAGTTTTTTTGGAGGAGGAGCATGGGCACAAATTTTGTTAAAGGGGGGTACACTTCCTTGATCTGACGGGGAGAGATGCAGGCAAATGGTCAATTTGCGCCATGTATGCTACGAAGCGAAAACGTCGGGGAGGCCAGGTGGTGCTGGCCGAGTGTGCCATCCCCGGGATACGCCATTGCTCGGTAGTGCGCGCCAGCTGTGTCAGGACAAGACGCATCGGCTTTCAATTTAGCGTTTACAAAATTTACAATTTCCGAAGGCGAATATGATGTTGCAGTGCATAGCTTTATGTACTCACAGTTCCTCCGTCCATCTTCAACCTCGTACTTCCTTCCTGTCGCGGAACGCGAGGAACCGTGGTTCTGTGTTCCGCCAAACTGTCGACTTCGCCTGTGAAAGAAATACTATTCGGTTAGAAAGTTACCACAGTGCCTTCTTTGCTTGAGTGTAAGAACAAGATTTTTTTTTCTTTTCTATGCGAAGGAGCATTACTGAAATTCTTTGTAACAATTCTAACGTCAAAGCAGACTGAAATTCGAAAAAAACGATATATGTAATAAGAACTCACCGGCAACCGGGTGTGCTAACTTTGTAGCTGTGTATAAAAACTAATGCAAAAATGGAGATCAGTAAAAAAATGCTTGGTCAAGTTGACTTGATAGCCACCTTATCTACAGGATTTGCTCGAATTACATTATGTGGTTCAAAAAGGAAGCTACGTAATGGTATACTCAGGGCTCAGCCTTCTCTTGTTTCATTATAATTTCGCTTTTTCTCCATTATTTCTCCGAGTGAATATGCGTGTATTTGAATGCAAGCGACACTTCAACACTTTCCAATGGTCGACAGAGAAATGATTCTAATAATAAGTACAGCGCAAAGCAGCACTTTATTTGTGAGTATTCAGAAACAGACTTATAACGTGAGACTAATTTTTAAGAGCATCGTTCGATCAAACCTAACGACAAACTATACTTTTATTGTATGGTGCTAGGTAATGTCAGAAGAGAAACCGATACGCAAAGAAACGTTTTGCGAATCCCAGTTTAAGATGCTCTGTTCCGGAAATGACCAGCCCGTTAAAAGCAATAAAACTGAGATCACTGGCAATGATTGCCCGAAAACTTGCTGTACGAGCAACCTGCACACAGAAAGAACCTTGTCATATGACAATGTGGCGAGTTGTTTAGCGTGAAGTTTTCCAATGGCCTTATTGGCGTATATTTTATTACAAATGCAGGGCAATTTGCACAAATAGTGCAACGGAAAGTTCGACCGTATTTATAGATACTTCGCAAGTGGTGTGATTTAGTTCGAAGCTCGTTCACGTTTTTATTCGTAGACATGTGTTCAAAAGTTATCAGTCAGCGAATTACGGTCACATAGGCTTAAAGACATAAATCCTTGCTTGTCATGCCGGTGGGAATCTATGCTAGGTAGGCAGACGTAACGTAAAAATAAACGAATTTTACGTACCAACATTAGAACTGACGAAATATACGAGTATCGTCAACGTATTGCAAAAGACGGAATGCAACATGAGCGTATAATGATATAACAAGTGCCGCCTATCCTTACTCGAGGGCAATTATGTCGTTTAATTTTCCCTTGCGAGAAACACATAGCGTTTGCAGTTCGTCGAAACCCATCTTCCGACAAAGACTAAGTGGGTGCAGTGCGTTTAAATGCTGACTATCTCCTACTCACTGCTCATTAAATCCGTACGTCTGCCAAGTTGTCATTTAGGCTGTACTGTCACTATAAATATTTTTCAAATGCCGCACGTAGAGGATTGCGAAGCTGTCATTTTGTGTCAGTGAAGTGCCATGCCAAATAGATTTTCAGCATCTGCAACACTGTAATTGTGGAGGCATCTTTTTACTGGGTTTGCGGACGCTGTCCTGGCTAACTGAGTTGACGTCTTCGTTTTAAACAAATCCTTCGTGTAATTTAAGTTCCCCCAGTTCCATGGTGGTTGACAGCACGGTTTCATTCAGCAGTAAAATTACAAATGTACACTAATTAAAATACGAAAAATCTACGCATCGCCATTCAATGGTGCTCTTAAGGAACGCAGTGTGCTGGACCAGGCAGTTTGCGTCTAACTTCGTAAGCATCTGTATTTACCCTGTACACCGCAGACGTCAAGGTTATTGTCACATCTGCCAAGGTGGTACAGTGGTAATGGTACTTAGCGGCTTACCCGAAAGACCAAGAGTTCGATCCCGGCGGCGGTGATTGCATATCAATGCTGGCGAAAAGCTAAGGCACTTTTTCTTTTTTTAGTACACATCGTTTTGTGTTGAATTGAGTTTTTTTTTTGCTTGCTCACGCTTTCAGCTATTGCTGTTGTTACTTACCTTTTATGTACGCCACTAACAATACGAAGGCCCCTGACCGTTCCTAACTTCAGGACCTCCTGAATCTTTAGGTAATATGTAATCAGTTTTTCGTTCATGCAATAACTATAAATAAACTTGAACTTAAGCCCATGTACTGTGCGTTGTGGGTGCTTGTGAAAGAGCCTCAGGGGGGTTAAATAATCTGCAGCCATCCGCTAGGGCGCACGCCGTAATCGCATCGCAGTTACAGCGCGTGGAGCTTCAGAAACTCTTAAGTGGTTCTTAAAACAGAGAAAGGAAGATAAAATGAGCCCCGTAACTGTCTGCATCATCGTGCGACACCTGAACAGTGGCTCATGAGGGAAGGGGATAAGGAGGGAATAAAAGGGATAGGTACATAAAAGGGATAGGGATAGAGGTGAGGACACTCACATACAGAAGTAACGAGAAGATAGAGAAAGGTGGGGGCACGGTCGAAGGAGTAATAACGCACTGGTGATATAGACTTATGGTATTCATGAGTGACTGTTCTAAAACAAGGAAGGCCAATAATCGCTTGTGTCCTAAGAGCACCAGTGTCAAGCAGAGTGACCTCGTCGATTTCCCTAGCAGTGGCGAGGAAATATAAATTATGGGATTTTTATGCTGTTGAAAAAAGTGGTCATCTCAAGTGCATTTCATCAGCAGTCAGCGTTCCTTTCCCTTTCTCCAATTTTCCAAGAAGAAAAAAAAAACTCAAATCCGGAGCAAAATAGTCGTCTCTTTATTTGGACGTGGACTACGTTATCATAGGCAAGATATGTGTTGACGCGTGGTAAAACGTGCGTGCATTTTTTACTCAGAATATCAAATAATCCTGCAATAAGGCACGCGCAGCAGCGTCTTATTTTTCGGCATAATAATTCCATTACTCGAGCGGAAATTTCTTATACCGAAGAGAAAACTGCTTAGATCTTTAGAATCTCAATTTTAACTGGTGCATACTGCAAATATAGCTTAAATCTTTTGGACTAATTGACACTCGGTTGACTCTATTTGCCCTCTTTTCTAATAATATAGGGGTAAAGAAGCTAAAAATCAGGCTTCAACAACATTGTCGTTAAGATAAGGTGCAAGGTCATGCCGTAAACCCTCGCGCACAGGAACCGTTACAAAACTGTCTAAATTCAAGTACACTTCGTAAAATTCACATTTGCAATAGTCCTAACAACCGGTAAACAATATTAACGATGAAGACTAAAATGATGTCACCAACTTTATGCGCTAATGACGTTAACAATGCGAGAGCTCACTCGCTGTAGGCAAAATAGCGGGCAACCTAGTGGAACAATTTATTGTTTCAAGGAAGTATGGCTCCTCCACAGGTAAAGCATACAAGCGGTGTACGATGTGAGTAGCTTTCTGCTTCCTGGCAGCTCCGTATGCAGCCACTAACGATTGACACACACTGAGCCATGACTGAAGATGCATTCGCAGTAAATAAACAAGGAGCACGAGCCAACATAGCAACAGACTTCAAGCTTTCTCTTTCTTTCGTCTATATCTTTGCCCGCCGGCAGGTTTTATATACATACCATTGTATAGGCTTGACAACCTACAGAATTATAGTCCTATGAACTTTGACATCATACAAATACACCAGCCATGCAAAGTTTCACTTGGCTGAGCTGGTTAGTTGATTATTAACTTGTAGATGTGGTTGGTTGTAGCGTGGCAAGAAATAAAAAAACGCTCTAGACAGGCTTACTCACAACTTTTCTTTCTGTTTTATTTTGGGGGGCGGGGGGGAGTATATCAATTTATTGCCGCGCTATGCCTATCGCAATGCACAGAGCTTGCAAGTTTACCCAGGCAAGCACTCTCGTCACTGCGTTGCGGGCAAGTGCTGGCACCATGCAAGCAGCACGCCCGGTTGAGACAGCCGCGGCAGTCGGTCTGAGAACTAGCTATAGCCTCCCTGTCCTTCCTTCTTCAATCCCCCTCTTACTTAGCATCAGTATAGCGATCCTCGATGCACGTGACTGGATGCACCCGTGCATATCGTAAACGCCCGACTGCCTTCCAGAGCAGCAGGTTATTTCACGTCTTGAACGAGACGCAGAAGTTTCAGATGCTTGGAACATTGCCAGACTCTTCGCTCCTTGTAATGGAGACAAGCGGCTAGTGCTTTTTTTGTGTCCACCCAACAGCTCAGTAACGTCGCTAGTTCACTAGTATTGTGAGGCTTTGTAAGCACAACACACTATTGATATGAGCAAGCTGATTAAACATTAGTTCCCTACGACGCCCTAATTCGCCTCCTCTTTACATAATTTTTCACGTATATTGCCTGAACAATATCTTCTTTTATGCCCTTGACCTTAGCTCCTCGCTCTTCAAGTGAAGTTGCTTTTCCTTTTTGAATGAAAGATGGAAGCAAAAGTAAAACGCAGTGAGGAGAATTGCCAGAGAAAATAACGCGACATTTGCGTATACAGCTACACAACAGGTCAAATGTGACTCATTAACAACTTCAAGATTACGCGCACCTTGTACGAAACGAAGGAACAAATTGCCGGCACATTTTTCCGCCAACACAATTACACATTCAAACGCAACTAAGCGCATAGAGCAACAAACGTCGAAATAAACAATAGATTGTCTATTCGCATTACGAAAATCAAATAACCTTCATGACAATAAGTGTGAGATGGCAATTCCAGATAACAAGGTTATTGTGCGTTTCCTTAGCACACCAAACTTATGTTGCGGCACTGGCAATTTCATTTGCGGAAGTGATAAATGTATTTTGATGTGAGTGAGCGTTTATTACAAAACAGCATTCCTCCCCACCCTCCGAAGACACACCTTTATTTTACTTGTTCAACAGGACTTTGCAGAGGTTAAGCGAATGATAAATATGAGACAAATTTTGCGAATAGACAGCTATAGATACTTTGAACTTTGAACTTTGAACTTTATTATGAATAAACAACATACAGTTAAGAAAAACATGTTAGCAAAATCTGGATCCTTAGCAGAATGCTAGTATGGATCCATGCAATTATA